CCTTGTCCCCAGGTTTCTCGAGGCAGCCACATTTCTGCACGATGAAAATCCTGGAGTCTTTTCCACTGCTGGCTTCAGTAAAGGCAGAATTTCATCCCACTGTCTTGCCTACACCGTTTGTTTTGAGACACAGCAATGTGTCTGAACAGTCCAAATGTTTGTTCCCTTTCTGTCCATGTCACCTCCCAGGAGCTAGAGGCTGGATCTCACCTGTACCTGCGCTGCCCTTGTGTCTGGCTTTGCAGACCTCCTGGACCAGGGAGAGAGCAGGGCTCTTCCACAGTACCCCCCAAAAAAACCATCTCCCATGGAGAATTTCCTGGCATCCCAGTCCTAGCCCCACGGTGCACTGATATGTCCTGTTTATTTGCTGACCCGCAAACAGTTTGGGCTGTTTCAAGGTATTTTAGCTCAACTATTGTCATAGCTTTTTTGCCATGCACTTTGTCAAGTGATATTTCAAAATCTGGATAAGTTGCGCTCATGCTAAATTACGCAATACTTTTACTGTTGTCCGCTAAAGTTTCCTTCCTTGGGAAATTTTGGAAAGTACAACCTGGTGTATTCCCCAGCCAAAGTATTTAGATTTCAAAGGCACTTTATGTGTCTTTGGGTAAATCCACGTTGACAGGGAGAGATCACCAGCATTCAGAGATGAGCTGACTCGGGGGTAACAAAATCAGTTGCACCTCTGAAAAGTGCAATGACAAGCTGAATATTTTAGCCTCTTATCCTGATGACAGCGACCTTCCAAGTGAACATGGAGCTCTGCAAAGCCATTCCTGTTGGTGGTACCTCCTTTTGGGAGGTATGACACATCTGTTGACTTTGGTAGAATGAGACATCCCTATGGTTAAGCATGTGCACGAGTGCTAGTAAGATCAGAGCTCTAATAGCCTTGTTAGAAAGTTCAGTGGGTGGCATAATCCAGGAGCTGGTCTACAGCACTTCTGCTTGCCAGGAGCACCTTGCAGTGTTCGGTGTTCTCCCATTTTAATAAACAAATATCTACCTTTGGTTTCCTTTCTGTTACTGCCAACACACCTATGCTAGATAAAATAGCAACACACGTGGGTGGCAGTGGTCTGATGCCTAGCCTAAAGAGCCAGGGCCACTTAGGTGTGTTCTCATTACCAAATTAAGTACACACCCTGTTGTGTCTTTTGGAAAAGCTGCTGCATCAATAATTATGTCAATGATCTGGCAAACAGCAAAAGATTCTGGATGAATATTTATTGCACACATGGTGTCTGTGGGTGTGCATTCCTGCATCCTCTTGGTCTTGTGCCTGCTTACAGCCAGCGATGACCCTGTGTTGGCTTTAAGTAGGAGCTGCAGCAAGCCGGGTGTTGCAACTGGGCTTTTAGTAAAAGTAGAGGGAAGACACTTCTGTCACCCAGGGTGTGAAGATCTGAGAGCTGCTCAGCATACAGTGCACCCAGCAGCTTGGTCAGCCCAAGTGGCACAGCTCAGGTTCCCCCTCTGCTCACAGACTGACTGGCTGCAGAAACTCCAGGGAAAATCCCAGGCAGACTGAGCATTGCCGAGCAGCTGCACGTTATAAATGGAGACATTTTTCTAACCACAGGATTGAGTTTTTGTTCTGGAAAGTCTCTGCCATTTGGGCTGAAGGTGTCAGCAGCTACAGCGATGGTGACAAAGCCTGCTAAACACGAGGAGAGCTGCGACACCCTTGCTGCTATCTGTCCTGTGCAGAAGAGGCAGAGCGAAGATTATTGCTCAGATCAGTTATTCTCTCCACCAGAAGTTGGCAGCTGACAAGAATGGATGTGCTGTCAGGGCAGAGCAGCCCTTTGTTGAGCATTTCTAACCCCAAAATGAGGCAGAGGCCACCTGCCTGGTCACCAGTGGCCCTCAGGACCGGGTGGCACTGCGGGGCTGAGGCCTTGTGGTGATTCCTCAGCAGGGTTTGCTCACAGCACTGCACGGGGCGGCCCCTGCTGCTGCCTCTCACAGCCACCTCGGTGCCCCCGTGTCTGTGTGCAGGATCTAGCCCGCCAGACGCCCAGCCCGGTCACGCCAGAATTTATCATGAGCAGGCAGAGAGCTTCCAGGTCGGTCTCCCACACACAGCACTTGTGCAATGCGCTGGTGCTGCTGTGCAAACGTGGCCCCAACGTTTCCAGACGGCGCCTGGTGCACCCAAGTTCCTGCCCTCCCTCTGAGCCCTGTGCTTGCTTCCCCAAGCCGTGGAAGGAGAGCCCCCCTCAGGGGGTGCAAAGGCCTTTGCATGGAGATGTGCACCCAGGGTGCCCCTAGACCTTAGCACAGGTCTGGGTGCTGGCAGGACCTGTCCCTCTTTTCCTGTTGGTGGCCATGCACCAGCAGACAGCCCCTGCCTGCCAGGGCAAATCCAGAAGAAATCTGGACAATCCAGAAGGTTAACCCCCCCCCCCCCCCCCCCCCTCTTCCATTTGGTCTTGTTGGCATGGGGATAAGGCGGGGGGAATGGTGTAGGCTGGTTGGAGCCATGGAGCTGGCATTTAGCTGGGGGGGCTTAACCAGAGGGGATGAGACAGCAGGCAAAGAAGGGGGAAAGTGGGGTGGGTGGGCTGGGGCGAGCTGGGCCCTGGAAGGCTGGGAGAGGGGAGAGCCCGAGAAGGGCATGGGGGCTCTGCTGCCCGTGCCCCTCCGTGCCAGTCCCTGTTGAGGCAGCTGGGCCTGGGAGCCAGTTTCTGGGTGGTTCCTCCAGCGGTGTCATTGCTAATTAAATATGCTCTAAAGGTGAGATTATCTGTTGTGGTGATGTCTCACCTTTGACCACGTCTGCATCAGACAAATCAAAAGCCAGCCAAGGAATCTTTTTGGGTTTCCTTGCCCAAGGCGTGCTGTTAGGAGTTGGATAGGAGCTGTGCTAACAGAAGACCCAGCCAGCACCACACGGTTCTGCTACAATATTTTGGGCTGCTACAAATTGTCCGGGCTCGGGGTTTAATTTCCCTCGATGAAGGTGGCGGTGCAGTGGAACACAACGAGTGCAAATTTCCCTGCTCCTGAAGTTATCACAGCTCACGCAGCCTCTCTAGGGACATCCCTGCTTACCTCCTCAGGCTCCCTTCTCTGGAGGATCCTCTGTCCTCGAGATCCTTCTGGGCCTTGTTGCATTATGAACAAGAACACCCTACCTTTTAAAGAGAGATTTCCACTTTTCTGCTAATCCCCACTCAGTTTGACTTTATGTTCTTTTTTATCTCATCCCTCCTCAGCGAATCCATGTATCCAACACAAAGGTATTTCTCTCACACTGGTCTCACATGGGAACCATTCTCTTTATTTGCCTTTGCTGCACAGAGGCCGGGAGGGAGGCTGATCCTTCCCTGGGTTACCGTGATACACAGCCTCACCTGCAGTGCCCTTTATTCCAGCATCCATCCCCAATCTGGCTTGGGGGCCTGCTCCTGCCTTGAAGTCACAGTCAGGCTGCAAAGTCAGAAGTTTGGATTAAGCAATGCCTCGCTTCCTGCCAGGGAGAGGCTAACAACCAGGCTGCGGAGGCAGTCGGGGACACAGCAGGCATGCCCTGGCAGCGGTGGCTGGCCCCATCTCCCACCCCCAGCCCATCATTCTCGAGGAGCCTGCCCTGGATGTAGGCAGCCTGGCCCACACCCTGCTGTCTTCCCCTGCAGCCCGGCCTTGGCTTTTTTGGCTTTACCTGCTGGTAAAATGAGAAATTACCTCTGTCTCTGGTGCCCCAGCCCCAGTGTGAGCTGCACAGCTCCTGCAAGCACAAAGAAGCAAGAAACGCAGCGCGGCCCAAGCTGCAATGTGGGCTGTGCTGGGCCCTGGCAGATCCTTCTGCTGCCCCCCTCCCCCGATGGGGATGGAAGCTCTTCTTCCCTGTTTTTTCATTTTCAGGCATCTCCATGTCTCCTTCCAACTCCTCCCACACACAGCGGAGGAACTGCCCACAAACATGTGCAAAACTACTTAATTACTCCCGAACCAGCTGCGCTGCCGCTTGCTGCGGGTGCTGATGGCTGTGCTGACCATGCCAACTTTGCCCCCTCTCTTCTGCCCATCTGTGCCCATCACCTGCCCGGCCTGCAGGCTCTGGATGCTCCACATCCTGCAGTGGTGCGTGCGTGGCACCTGGGGTGGTGGCAAACACAGCCCTGTGTGTGGCGGGCTGAGGGGTTCAGCCCTTGCTTGCCCGCTGCTGGATGCCTTGGGTTTCATTGCTGGGTATTGTAGGGCCAGTTCTGGGTGTCCTAGGCCAGTGGTGGATGGCCTGGGACCATGCCCAGGTGTTCCAAGGCCACCTCTGGTGTCCTGAAGCCACCACTGAGCATCCCAGTACCATGCCTGGGTGTCCTGGGGCCACCATGGGGTGTCCTGGGGCCACCATGTAGTGTCCCAAGACTATACCTGGGTGTCCTGGAGCCACCGCTGGGTGATGGCCTGGGGACATCAATGGATGCCCCAGGCCCATACCAGGGTGTCCTTGGGCCATCATCGGGTGCCCCAGGACCATCACCAGATGTACTAAGGCCACCTCTGGTGTCCTGGGGCCATCATCGGGTATCCCAGGACCATACCCAAGTGTCCTAAGGCCATCACTGAGTGTCCCAAGGCCACCTCTGGTGTGTCAGGACCATCATCGGGTGCCCCAGGACCATACCTGGGTGTCTCAGTGCCATCACCAGGTGTCCTAGGGCCACCACCAATTGCACCATGCCTGTGTGCCCTGGGCCCAGCACCGGGTGCCACAGGATCATGCCTGGGTCCCTTGGGGCCACCACCGGCTGCTCCACGACCGTACCCGGGTGTCCTGGGGCCATCACCGGCTGCTCCAAGGCCACTTTCGATATCCGGGTGCCATCACCGCGCATCCCGGGGCCATCACCGCGTCCCCCGCCACCCCCTAACCCCACACCCCCGCCTCTCCACCCACCCCCTCCCATCCCTTCCCCACGCCCCCCGTGGCCGCGGGAGGAGCCCGGCTCTGCCCGGCGGGGGCGGGAGCGAGCAGCCGGGGCCGGCCCGCCCCGCCCCGGCTCATTCACGCGGCGGCGGCGGCGGCGGCTCGGAGCGGCCCCGGTTGCACGCTCCCGCCGGGCCTCGGCGCATGCGAGCGGGCCCGGGGCGGTGCCGGTGCCGGTGCCGGTGCCGGTGCCGGTGCCGGTAGCGGTGGCGGTGCGGCAGGGCTGCGGCAACGTCGGCCATGCGGTGGCCCCGCGGCCCCCGCGGCGCCTGGCGGCTGCTGCCTCGGCGCTCGCTGCTGGCCGCGCTCTTCCTCTTCTCGCTCTCCTCCTCCTTCCTCTACTTCGTCTATGTGGCGCCGGGCATCGGTAAGCGGCGGGCCGCGGCGCCGCTCCGAGGGGAAACGCTGAGTAATGGGGCGGGGGGGGGGGCGGCCGCAGCATCGCCGGGGGGACGGAGAGGGGTGCGGGAGGGCGCGGTGCTGCCCGGCCGCTGCGCGGGGTGCTGGAGGTGGGGCGGGGGTAGTGGGGGAAAAAAGGGGGGGGGGGTAAAAAAAAAAAAAAAAAGCGCGGGTTTGGGGTGGGGGGATCAGGGGATCAGGGGGGTGGCCCCCTGGGGGTGTGCATGGGAGTGGGGTTTTGCTGTTGGTCGTGGGGCCGCCTGTGGGTGCTGAGCCGTACCGAGCCAGTACCGAGCCGTGCCGTGCTATAACCGAGCCGTACCTCCCCGCGGGCCCGCGAAGCACCGAGTTTGTTTTCGAAGAAGTGGAGTGTTGGCTGTTTGTGGTCTGAACTCTCCCTGGCGGAAATCCTACTCCTTTTTCTCTCTCTCTCTTTTCTTTTTTTTTTTTTGTTTGTTGGTAAAGTAGAAAGATGAGAAGTGCGTGTTTTAGAAGGGGGGCGTGCTTGGTGGTGGTTGTCCTTACGGCGTGCTTCAAGGGTGGCCGTGTGCCCGAATGGCCAGCACCTAGGGCACCCGGTGCTCGTGGGACTGGGTGCCCATCTCCCATAGCGGCAGGAAGGCTTGTGGCTTGCAAAGCAACTGTTGTCTTCGTGCTGTGTGTCGTGTTTCTGTAAGAAGCCAAGGCTCACAGGCAGCTTGGCCTTCAATCTAGCTATAGTACCCATTCTTTGGAAAGGATTGTGGTTTTGGTTTTTCAATAAAACTGAAAATCTCGCCAGTGATAGTTTCTCCTTGAAATGTCATTGGTATCGCTCGTGCTGTCCCAAGCTCAGACATCCCAGGGAGACCCAAGTGTGCTCCGTGAAGTGACTTCTGCAGGTTTTTGTTTACAGATCCCATCCCATTGCTGCCTCTGGGCTTTGGGAGCCTTGTACGGGGCAAAGCAGAGTGCTGCCGGTGCCCAAAGCCCTGCACATGGGGGCACGAGTCCTGCGGACAGCCCGTGTGAGGTTCTAGGTGCCCGTGCCCTACCTGGCGGGGTGGCCCAGGGCTTTACTGTCCCCACGGGCTGACTGCTGAGTCCCTGGCCGCTGTCCTGCATGTTCGCCTTGGGGTAGCCAAGAGCTCCCCAGCATCCGTTTGAGGACAGTTTTGTACCAGCTCTGCTGGCAGCGGCTTTGTCAGATGCGTCCCATGGCCCTGTGCAGGGCAGGTGTGGGGAATGTCCCTTCAGAGAGCTGCGGTGCAGGGGTGAGCTGCTTTGGAAATAAACGACTGGTTTCCTTCTGGGGAAATGGCACTGCTCAGATGCTGGGCCCCCGGCAGAGCGTGGCTGCTGCTGGGGGCACGGCTTTGGGTGGGGGCACAGCTTTGGGCCGGGACGAGGAGCAGCTCTGTGGTGTGCTCCTGGCCTGCTGCAGGGGCTGTGGCCGGGTTTCAAAGGGGGAGTTGCTGTATGGCATCAGCGGGAAACTTCTCTTGCAGGGATAGTTTTGCTCTTCCTCTAGGGTTGTGCTACGTTGTCTCATTTGCTTTGCACTGCTGTGGGTGGCCAACAGTCACGCAGGAACCGGAGGTGCTGCAAAATGCAAATCCCCGTGTAAAAGCAGCTTGTTGCCCAGGCGTTTTACCCACATGGACTGCAGGTAGCACATCCACGTCCCAGCCCCTGCTCTCCTCTCTGAGGTGCTGGAAGAGGAAGCAAAGACGTGAAGATGGTCCCTGTCCCCACATGCCTGTGGATGTTAGCGATGTTCTGACTCATCTCCCCATCAGGTGACAGAAGATCTGGTTCCTGTTTTTTTTTTTTTTTTCCTTTTCCACCACTTTCAGCCAAAAATGTTCCATCGTGAAAACCCAGCCCAGTATTCCCATGGCGGCTGGGCTCATCATCCTGGCACTTGGAAGCGGTTTGTATTTAGGGCAAAGAGGTAAGGAGAAAGTTGGAAGAAAAGCGAGTTTTCCTGGTAGGATGTGAGCAATGCTGCAGCCCTCACTAAACTGAGCAAACGGTGTGCAAACGGGAAGTGCTCGACACGGTGTGAGGCCTCAGCCCCAAAACCATCCTTTTGCAGGGCTTGCTGGCGAAGAGACTGAAGAGCAACTTGTGGCTCTTGACTAAAACACAAGTGGAGGAGTGATTAATCCTATTCCTTGGTCATGTCTCAATTCAAAGAAAAAAATCCAAATGAACTGGACCTGAAGTTTAGGAAGCTGTGTGTGTGACTTTGAACCAGCGTTAAGAGGCTTTAATCTGTTTGATGTCTAACAGTGATGAAAATGCACTGCTACAGCAAACCTTGGCCTGCAGAGGGTGACCCGCGTCCATTTGGCTGGTGAAGGCAACCTGCCCAAGGTGGCTGGGGGCCACCCTGAGGACCAGTGGCCACACGTGCTGTGTGGGGCACCCCTGTGCCCTGTCCCCAGTGCCTGGTGCAGGCCCTGGGTGGGGAGCGGGTGCCAATTTGAGGGAAAATGCTTTGGAGCTGCTGAGGCTTGTTGTGTTCGAGCAGTTGTATCCCACTGCCAGGAGGAAACTGGGACAGTTGCACTTCTGGGTGCTGTCTCAGCATATTGGCGTGGCGCACTTTACAGCTCCCTTGATGGGTTGGGAAGGCAAGAAAATGGCTCCTGGTGCCCGCAGGGAGACCAGAGCCTGGCCCAGGTGCTGGGGACTGCTCAGGGTCACCTCCCCTCATCAAGCCCCACGCAGTGCTGTCCTGTGCTCCAGGCCAGGTGACAGTGGCCTGCCCTCCATCTGCTCGGACTGTGCTGCTCGTGATGGAAACGTGAGGAAGAATTTCATGTTTAGTGCCAGCAAGGATGCAGGTGGGAGAGTTCAGCCTGTGTGGGCAGCAGCCATGCCTGGCACCTTCCATGAGCCCAGGGCCTTTGGTACGTCTGTTTGTGTTGTCCTTGGGGTAACCCCCTGCTTATGTTCTTAAACAACATTTCACCTACAAAACTGATATCTTCTTGCAGCCTCAAGTTCTTACAGAGCAATCTGACAATCAGCCAGCATCTCTTCCTTTGCGGCACTCAACTGAAATGCGTGACCTCCTCCGAACTGCACCATAACAACCCATGTCCTCGGGCCTGGGCTTGTAAATCCACTTCGGAGAGCAGATCATCAGGCGCTGAGCCGCTCGTGTGGATGCAGCAGGGTTCCCTTTTACTCCATGCTGTTCCCCAGCATCTGCTGGCTTTTGTTCCTGGTGCGGATGGAGTTATTATGTGGGTCTGTCTCATCGCTGCCATTGTGTGCTCCGTGAGGCGGCCGATTGTTCTGCTCTGCGCCGAGCTGCGTGGCGAGAGCCTGGCGGGGCCATTAAAGATGCAGCGGCTGAGGAGCTGCTGGTACACCTGTGCCTGTGTCCCATTGCCCCTGAGCTCTGCACAAGCAGGTGCTGAGCTGTGCTCGTGAGGGCTGGAGCAGGCTCCTGGTGCTGCTGTCTCTGGTCCATCTGATGTGGGGGTCTGCTGAGCTGTGACCATGCTCTACGGGGCTTGGAGTCCAACAGGCCACTTGGTTTGTTGTTTTTATGAGACAGAACTGAAAGCCTGTTCAGTCTCCTTGCTCACATTGAGGCTTTTATCACCCAGAGGTGCTGGGGGCCCGCAGCCACCCCCAGAGGTGCCACAGGGATCAGCCTGCCCAGAAAACTGCCCCGTGCCCAGGCAGGACCTGGAGGCCATGGGCTGAGCGAGCTGCCTCGCAGGCATTGCACCTCCAGAAACTGCTGCTGGTTGATTGCCTCTTGAATTGAACAAGAGGGCTGCAGGTGCTTCAAGGGGCTGTTGTAAGAATCCCTGGGCGTCACGCCTTTGCACATCGTGGGGGTTCATGTGGCTTTCCTGGAGGTGTCTTTTCTTGTTGGCTTCACGCTTTTGTAACAGGGACCAGGAAACCAGGGAAATTCCATCTTGCAGCTGGAAGTAGTAATACTTTTACAAGTTGCTTGTGCTGCGTGCCTCAGTTGGACCTTGATAACTCTCGCTTCACCAGCAGAAACTTGTCAAACTGTGCCCTTGGTCCTCTCTGTGGGTTGTTATCAGGTTCCTGGAAGGAGGAAGGTTCAAGGCCTCCCCTGGTGCTCAGGTGCCTGCTTCTGTTTTTGTTTTTTATTTCTCTAGATGTTGGAGCCTATTTTTTTCTATATTTTTTAGGTCTGTACAGGAGTCTTTCTTGTCTGAATCTGATGTGGGAAAATAACAGAGAGAATTTAAATTATTGGGTGAAAGATCATTACCTGTGTGAGAGAGCTGTAATTCACTCAAGCTTTACTTCCTCAAAACTTATCAGAAATTGCTTCAGACCTGTTGTAGAGTGCACAAGTCAGCAGCATTAGGCCTGGATTAAATCTGTGATGCAAGGGCTTGATTTATGATCGGTCAAAATGCTTTGAAACACCATTCCTTCACGCCGCGTTTCAGTGGCCAGCCGGGCAATGCTATGGAGACCAAAGGCATGGCGTTTTTGTGCGTCTAACCTACCGCTTTGATCCCTCATAGAAATACCACGCTGCCGTGTGTGACCGATCCAAATCGGCTGTTCAGTGCATCCTCCTGGCAAGCTGCAATACGGGGTAGCTCCAGGTGTGGACATGGTGAAATATTTTGATACCACCTTCTTCTCCAAACCATGGAGTTGCCCTCGGCAGGGAGAAGTGACAGCAGGTGGGTTCCCAGTGCTGGGCAGGTGGCTCTGTAGGGACAGCACTGCCCGGGGCTGAGACATCTGTGGCGGTGACGCCAAGAGGTGACATAGGGATGGAGAGCTGCTTGTTTCGCCCGCTATGCATTTTTCATGGGGATGCCAGCAGAAGGAGTTGTGGTCAGGCCCGATGGCCGGTGGAGAAAGAGGCAGGAGAGGTTTTGTTTCTCTTCACTCTTGGGTTTTTCCCGCAGCTCCAGCCAGGAGGCAGGGCCCTGTGGGTGCCGGAGGTTGGGGCTTGGTGTGGTGGCA